CGATGGTAGTCATTTGAGTAGAAGAGACTAAGGAATGTATTCATGGTAGCGACTCGTATATATAGTATACATGGAGCATGTGAATCTACTACCGTATTCGTAACGAGCCAGCCCTAAACCACGCATAGCATGGACGTCTAGCTACAAGTCCACATGGCCTGGTGCGACAGCAGCGGGCCATGACGAGTCATGAGTACGTAAGAGGCGCTTAAGTGTATACACACGTTGAGCGCCGATATAGAACGGAATGGCGGTGTTTACTTGTAAACCTCATAGAGGAACATCGCCTAAGTGATGGAGACTCCCTGGTATACACCAATAGAAGTCGTAAAAGGGTGAAGTACCACTCGTACTTTCAACACTCCCCCTCGAGTTGTACTTGCTTTAAACCGACTGATCGGGCTTTCCAAAGAAGAGCGAGATGTCCAAGCAATACTGTTTGTGTTTCACCAGCGGCAGATTCTTGGTCATCATATCCGCGGGATTTTCGGTTCCAGGGATCCAATAGAGCGTAATAACACCAAGCTCATGTAGTTCCCGGACAAAGTGATAACGGATGTTGATGTGCTTACTCCGCTTCTCAGTTACAGGGTTTTGGATATTGTGGAGAGCGCCCTGATTGTCTCCAACGATCGGCATAGCACCAATCTGCAGGACTCCTAGTTCGCCCATCATTTGAGCAAACCATTTGGCCTGGCGAGCACAGTCCGAGATGGACATATACTCGGCTTCCACCGTCAAGAGTGAGACGGATTTCTGAAGGTAGGCGGACCACAAAATGGGTCCGTTTGCCAGCATGAAGACATGGCCGGTCGTTGACTTGGCGGTTTCATCACCAGCCCAATCAGCGTCGGCAAAGGCGACAAAGCCTTTCCGCAAGGCACCGCTGTACTCGATATAGTAATCTTGTGTCCCTACTAAGTAGCGCAGTATGTACTTTGCTCTGTTCAGGTGGTCCTTGGAGGGGTTGGCGGCATGTCATGACAAGTGTGATACGGCGAAAGCAATATCAGGTCGTGTCCCAATCATAAGATAGATCAGGGACCCGATAAGCTCCTGGAATTCCTGCCGTAATGACGGGTCAACCGGATCGAGGTTCTTGGTAGCCGTATACCCAGTAGGGAGTGGCGTTGGCGCTGGATGTGCGTCAAGGTACTTGAACCTCGCGAGCACCTTCTGCAGGTATGCGGTCTGATCGAGACGTATCACCGACATGTTGACCCTGCTCAGGCGCATGCGCAAGAATTCTTTGGTTTCACCAAGATCTCGGCATTCCCATCGTTTCATAAACGCTGCCTTCACGCGGGTTAACACCTCGCGATCCGGCCCAAAGAATAAAGCGTCGTCGACGTAGATAACGGCAATAACCGCTCCGGTCTTTGACTGCTTAAACTTATAGACACCAGCATCAGACTGGATTTGTTCGAAGCCCAACTCTTTTAGGGATTGACGAAGTGCCTGCCACCATTGGCGACCGGCTTGCTTCAACCCGTATAGAGCCTTGTGCAAGCGCCAAACCATGCGCAAGTTGGTTGAGGTTCGAAAACCTCGCGGCTGCTCCATGTAGATTTCCTCATCCAGATCGCCATACAAGTAGGCGTTCCGCACATCGAGTCCCGAGACGTACCAGCCTTCGAGAGCTGCGAGTGCCAGCGTCATGCGGACGGTTTCGAACCGCACCACTGGGGAGAAGACTTCGGAGTAGTCGATGCCTTCGCGCTGGGAGAACCCCTTAGCAACGAGGCGGGCCTTACGGCGGCCATCTGTTTTTAGGTCGAAGACCCATCGGCACTTCACCGCCCTACGACCGGACGGGAGTTCGACTTCTGTGAAGACACCACGCTGGACGAGAGCTTCAATCTCGTCACGACAAGCCTGCATCCAGGCTTCTGACTCCTCGGTTGGTAATGTTATTATGTCTTCATACTTCCATTCCCTTACCGAAGCAAGGTCTGGTCCGAGTTCCGTGGCGGCTGAGTAGGCCATGAGAATCATCTTGTCCACAAACTCTGCTGCTGTTTCCCTCGCGTGTGCGATGTGCGCCGCTGCGTTCTGCATAAACGCTGGCGGAAGGGTTTGTTCCCCTTGAACATGCGTCATAAGTCCAGTAGGGCCATCGTTGTTGTCCGCAGGTGCGGGTGTGCGGTATCTCTGCCAGAGATTCTTCGCACGTTCCTGTTCCTGTTCGACCTCGTCCATGGTGCGGTCGGGGTCGACAGGCGTCAAGCGGTCGGAATCAAGAAATTGATCCGTCCTCCGCCACTTTGACGGTGGGTTCCAAGTACAACCGTCTCTAGGTTGGTCGTCCTCGTGCCCGGCAGGGTGACCCACAAGATTCTTGCGGACAGTTCCCTCTAGGCTGCGGCCTAGGTTCCTGAACTGCTCCAAGGGATTTCTCCCAGGTATGCTGTTATCCGGTAACATGTTCGGCTTCCTCTTTCGCCCAGATGTCCGTACGGTTTCTGGTATAGGTGCTTGAGGTGCGACGGTTGGTTGGCGTTGTGGTCTTTGTGCCCTTGGAGCCGGTTGTTCACCAGGTTCCGGCAGAAGATCTTGATGTTCCTCTCGTGGAGGGTCATCTGCGGGCAGACCTTGGTACATGTCATCCCATTCATCCTCCAGTTCGGCGAACTCCTTCGCTAAACCTTCGAACTCATCGTCGTCATCCTCGACCTTAGGCTGATGAGCCTTTCGCCAGTCATCTGAACCTTCTGACCGTGGCATTCGAGGCGGACTCAGGTTACGCGGCCCGTCGGCCGGTAGTTCACCATCGTCCCATTGTAGTGGTGATTGTGCAGCAGGAGGAGCTGGTCGTGCATCCTCCGAACTAAGTGGTGGAAAGTCGTTATTGATAGGACTCCGCGGTGGTGCGAGTGCATCCACCTCTGGTAAGCGCGTAAAGCGCTGGGTGTTCCGATGCCAGAACATGTGTCGCTTTGGAAACGTCATCTCGTCGAACACCACGTTCGTGGTGATCTTAAGCTTCCAGTCGCCGGTTAGGAATTTGTATCCGTTACCGGAATCCGATACTCCGACGTGTATACACGCGTGAGATCTCGGAACGAGCTTGTTGGCGCGCTCCTCTGGGTTAAGATACACGTAGCCCAAACAACCGAAGACACGCAGGTAATCGACGCGGGGTTTTTCACCCTCTACGATCTCATACGGCGATTTCCACTTCAGTCGCTTCATCGGTGTCCTGTTATAGACATGTGCTGCGTGTTCGATGGCCAAGTTCCACACAAAGGGCGGCAGATAGGCGTTGTGCCGCATTGCCTCAGCTTTTTCTGTTATTGTGCGTATCATCCGTTCGGCCCTGCCATTCTGCGCATGCGCATAAGGCGTTGATGTGAGGATTTTGATGCCACGTGATTGTAACATTTCTGTAAACTCTTGCGATTTAAACTCTCCCCCTGCATCGGACTTCCACATCCGAAGAGAGCGATGGTACTGGTTTAGCGTAA